TGACGTGCGAAGCCATCCACCCAGCATTGCGTGGTCAGCGGAAGCAGACGCAATACGTGCTAGATGTGCAGTGTAAGTGACCGCTGGAACTCCCTAGGAAGGGAGGGAGTAGGAGAGGTGGAAAGATTTTGTAAGCCAGGTTCAGGTTAGCGAGATCAAGAAATGGAGCCCTGTTGCATTTGATTGATAGATAGATAGACAGACAGACAGACAGACAGACAGACAGACAGACAGACAGACAGACAGACAGACAGACAGACAGACATAGATATAGATATATACATAGTAGGAAAGATATAGATAGATATAGATATAGATATATACATATAGATATACATATACATATACATACAGACTGACAGACCGACATAGATATAGATATAGATATAGATAGATAGATAGACAGAATGACTGACAGACATATAGATATAGATTGACAGACCTACATAGATATAGATAGATAGATAGATAGATAGATAGATAGATAGATAGATAGATAGATATAGATATAGATATAGACATATACATATAGATAGACATATACATATAGATTGACAGACCGACATAGATATAGATATATAGATATAGATATAGATAGACAGACAGACAGACAGACAGATAGATAGATAGATAGACAGAATGACTGACAGACATATAGATATAGATTGACAGACAGACATACAGTAGATATAGATATAGATATAGATATAGATAGCTATAGATAGATAGATAGATAGATAGATAGATAGATAGATAGATAGATAGATAGATAGATAGATAGACTGAGATATAGATATATAGATATACATATAGATATACATATAGAAATACATATAGATATACATATAGATATAGATAGATAGACAGACAGACAGACAGACAGACAGATAGATAGATATATAGATAGATAGATAGATAGACAGAATGACTGACAGACATATAGATATAGATTGACAGACAGACATACAGTAGATATAGATATAGATATAGATAGCTATAGATAGATAGATAGATAGATAGATAGATAGATAGATAGATAGATAGATAGATAGATAGATAGATAGATAGATAGATAGATAGATAGACTGAGATATAGATATATAGATATACATATAGATATACATATAGAAATACATATAGATATACATATAGATATAGATAGACAGACAGACAGACAGACAGACAGACAGACATCACTAGTAGCAGAATACTCCAGCATTTTAAACTGGAGAACAAACAGCGAGAGCAGCTCTCCTAGATCAGATTAAAAACTCATCTAGTCCAATATCCTGTTTTCCCATCGATCAACCAGATGCCGCTGAGAAAACCAGAAGCAGCATTTGAACAAGTACACTCTACCACAGTCTGATTAGCAAAGTAGTTAAGAGTAGGCTGGGTGGTGTGACATGAAGTAGACAGATAGCTAGCCTGAAAATCTCAGGTCAAAGAGTGCGGAGAAGGTTTTTCACCAGAGGGGAGTGAGGCTGGCTCCCCGGTTCAGCTCTGGCTCTCCAGCATTTTAATGAGTTTGATGAGAAAGGAGAGGGAATGCTAATCAGTTGCAGATGACCCCTGGCTGGGCAGGTTAGCTAATATTCTAGGATACACAAATAAAATTTGCAACGATCTTGATCCGCTGGGAAGGGGCGGAAAGTAACTGTGAGGCTGGAGTAGTCAAATGCAAAGTTAATATTTTAGGAAACGGATCAATTGCTTCAGCTACAGAGTGGAGAATTTCTGGCTTGGCTCTGCATCTTTTGTGGAGAAGAACTTGCAGGGGGAGCGTCTTAGAGAAATAATAATAATAATAATAATAATAATAATAATAATAATAATAATAATAATGAGGAGGAGGAGGAGGGGGAGCGTCTTAGAGAAATAATAATAATAATAATAATAATAATAATAATAATAGTAGTAGTAGTAGTAGTAGTAATAGTAGTAGTAGTAGTAGTAGTAGTAGTAAAGTTGGAAGGGACCTTGGAGGTCATCTAGTCCAACCCCCTGCTCAGGCAGGAAACCCTATACCATTTCGGACAAATGGCTGTCCAGTCTCTTCTTAAAAACTTCCAGTGTTGGAGCATTCACCGCTTCTGGAGGCAGGTTGTTCCACTGGTTAATTGTTCTCACTGTCAGGAAGTTTCTCCTTAGTTCTAAGTTGCTTCTCTCCTTGATCAGTTTCCACCCGTTGCTTCTTGTCCTGCCTTCAGGCGCTTTGGAAAATAGCTTGACTCCCTCTTCTTTGTGGCAGCCCCTGAGATATTGGTACTCCGCTATCATGTCCCCCCTTGTCCTTCTCTTCATTAAACTAGACATACCCAATTCCAGCAACTGTTCCTTATATGTTTTAGCCTCCAGTCCCCTAATCATTTTTGTTGCTCTTCTCTGTACTCTTTCTAGAGTCTCAACATCTTTTTTACATCCTGGTGACCAAAACTGGATGAGGTATTCCAAGTGTAGCCTTACCAAGGCCTTGTAAAGTGGTATTAATACTTCACGTGATCTTGATTCTATCCCTCTGTTAATGCAGCCCAGCACTGTGTTGGCTTTTTTGACAGCTGCAGCACACGGCTGGCTCATATTTAAGGGATTGTCCAGTAGGACTTCGAGATTCAAGGTTGCTTCTCTCCTGGATTTGTTTCCACCCGTTGCTTCTTGTCCTGCCTCCAGGTGCTTTGGAGAATAGCTTGACTCCCTCTTCTTTGGGGCAGCCCCTGAGATATTGGAACACTGCTATCATCTGAGAGAGCCATGTGATATGAGTCCAAAAAGGGGGGGAAAGGGGGGGAAAGGGAAAGGCAATCTGGAACTAGTTCAGACAAGTATGAGATGGTGGTCAGGGGAGCAGAAAGTAAAACTTGTGAAGAGAGATTAAAGGAACAAGGAGAGCAACTCGTCAAAAACCTGAGAGACTGTGACAGAAAGGGATGTCAGGATTCCTTCCCGAGATCAGAAGGAAACCAGGAGCACCTTTTCCGACTCACACACTGGATTCAAAAGCTCATAAAAGCTGCAGCTCCCTGAAGCTTCTGCCTTTGATTCCAGTCGGTATGTCGGAAAAGGGACGATCAGACTCTTGATTTTTTTTTTACTTTTTATTTTTGGGCATCCGTGTAGTTCCCTCCTACAATGGCTACAAAGAGACTCCTTCAGTGAGCTGTCAGAAACACTTTGGGCCAACCTGAACGCTTTTGAGGGGAGCCAACATCTGCCGCTGTCTTTAAATCTGACAATCCTTGTTAAAGGAAAGCAACCCAGGCAAAGGCAGGGGGTCCTCGCCTTACAACTTAGTGACAGTTCGGCGTTGCAACAGACTCAAAGAGGGGACTTATGACCCCAATTGGAAGTTCCAACAGCCCCCCCCGTCATGTTACCTCAGGTGCTCAACAACATGGCGGCGTTTATAGCCGTTTTGCAGCATCCCATGGTCACGTGACCATAGTTTACCACAGTTTGTCTCCAAACTGGCACTTACAATAACAATAACAATAACAATAATAATAATAATAATAAAAAAAAAATTGGAAGGGACCTTGGAGGTCATCTAGTCCAACCCCCTGCTCAGGCAGGAAACCCTATACCATTTCGGACAAATGGCTGTCCAGTTTCTTCTTAAAAACTTCCAGGGTTGGTGCGTTCACCGCTTCTGGGGGCAGGTTGTTCCACTGGTTAATTGTTCTAACCGTCAGGAAGTTTCTCCTTAGTTCTAGGTTGCTTCGCTCTTTGATTAGCTTCCACCCGTTGCTCCTTGTCCTGCCTTCAGGCGCTTTGGAAAATAGCTTGACTCCCTCTTCTATATGGCAGCCCCTGAGATATTGGAAGACTGCTATCATGTCCCCCCTCGTCCTTCTCTTCATTAAACTAGATATACCCAATTCCAGCAACCGTTCCTCATATGTTTTTAGCCTCCAGTCCCCTAATCATCTTTGTTGCTCTTCTCTGTACTCTTTCTAGAATCTCAACATCTTTTTTACATCGTGGTGACCAAAACTGGATGCAGTATTCTAAGTGTAGCCTTACCAAGGCCTTGTAAAGTGGTATTAACACTTCACGTGATCTTGATTCTATCCCTCTGTTAATGCAGCCTAGCACTGTGTTGGCTTTTTTGGCAGCTGCAGCACATGGCTGGCTCATATTTAAATGATTGTCCACTAGGACTCCGAGATCCCTCTCACAGTTACTACTATTGAGCAAGGTACCCCCTATACTATACCTGTACATTTGGTTTTTCTTGCCTAAATGTAGAAACTTACTTTTTTCACCATTGAATTTCATTCGCTTACCAACCGTGGCATTTGCTTAGTGACCGCCATATTCACCTTACCGCCACCACATTAACTTAACAGGCACCAGATACAGTAGAAGATCGTAAAATTGGATTGGTGATGTGACCGATCCATTTTATGACTCTTACGACTCCTAATAGGACGGTCCTATTGGCTCTGCGCGATTCACCCCTCGCGCAGGCCTGGCCCATTAAGATCACAAGGGCCCACCTTGAGGATGGGGTTTGGAACCCCGAGAGGTGGCATGCTGCGGGTGCTAATAGGAAATTATTGAAATTGGCCAAATTAAGGTTCTTTTTAAAGGGGTGTTTTAATAAATTTTTAGGGGGAACAAGGG